CAACCACCATTTCTGCCAGGTCCACGGAGTGCTTCGCAATCTGACTGAGAGCCGAAAGGACCTGACGCTGTGGAGCAAAACCCAAAATAAAACAAAACGTGACACAGAGCTTGTTGCAGAGTTCCGATCTGAACAGCTTTACACTCAAATTCCTGGATAAAAGGGAAAAGACAACTACATTTCTAATATAACCTTAGATTTAGGAGTTTTGAGACAATCAATTCCTACTCTCTTATACCTAAATACTCCATTTCTTAAATTCCCTAATCTCCAAGTTAAATGTCTTCATCCTTCTGTGGACCATTTAAGTCTCTTTATCCATGCAGATGATCAAAGAATATGACCTTTGGATGAATAATATTTCTTAATTAACACTCACATTATTAATTTATGACACGGGCGGTAATGTAGGACAAAAATGATCAAGCCGAAGTAACATCTTATTTGGGGCATCATGCTGATACCGTTTCAAAGAACTTTCCATGACTGAGTTAACATGAACTAAGATTTTAAAATCTTATAGAAAATAACTACTAGAATATGAAAGTATAGTTAGTGACTATTCACTGAAAATTAGATCGTAGAAAGCTGTAGAAAAAAGACATGGAAATAAATCTTGATACAATGAAGGAAACTAAAAACAAAATGACTGAGATAAACACGGCAATTTTCATAAGAAACTTAAACATAATAGTGGTGGGCTAGAAAACCTTTGGGCCCCTGCCCACCCTGAGATTCAGTCGTTGTGTAATTAATTCCTTATTTAATCGTGTTCATACTGATGCTACGTGCAGTCTACAGCATTGCACGGATTTTAACCAGATATGTCTATCGTCTAATCTCTACAGCAGAAGGTCCACATATTAAAAGACCAAATACATAACATACCCATATCTGTTTTCAATAACTTCCTAATTATTTTTAAATGTATAATATTAAGCTCCTCCCATTTCCATTTTCTTAGGGAGTCAGAAGCCTGATTTGTCTGTTTGTTTGTTTGAACTTTATTTTCAAGTACCTTTAATTTGGAATCGGGGTTCAGGATCATCTGGGCCAAGTGAGCGATGGCCCCCACGTCCACTACGGTCTGTGCTAACTCGGGAGAATGCTTTGAAATATCACTGAGGGCCGAAGCAGCAATCCTTTTCAAAGCAATTTCTGGCTCCTGGATACAGAGTACTAACAGAGGAACTGCTCCCGCATCCACCACAGCTTGTGACAGTTCTGTGGGTCCAAGAAAAGTAATTAAGTGAGGATGGGTGACTGACCCTTGTGCAAGCCATTTTTCACCCTGACAGATACAGCAAAGAAAAAAGGGGAGGGTGTACTTCACTGTGTCGACATCTGCATTTCAAATCAGCCTTCCCGGTTTCATAAACCATGTGGACCAATCCTGAGCTGAAAAGAATACAGGTCAATAGATGGACCTCCATTTACATGAACACATTTGAGGTAGATTAGGCTGAAATGGCTTGTTATTCTTTTTTTTTTTTTTTTTAAGAGAGTAAGCAGATGTCAGCTGTTTAAGCTCTGACAATTCTTCACTTCTCAATAGGCAAGCATTTTATGCATGGTTTACAATAACAGAGAAAATTAAAGTACCAAAAATTTACCAACCACACTAATTAGGCAGTATTTTGTGCTATTTACATGAGTAAACATTAACATGAATCTTGTGCCAATAATGTCAATTTTTAAATTCCTTTCATCTTACAGTACTTTTTAAAAGAATTTAACTTGTTCAAAATTAAAAGATGCATTTTCACTGTACGTGTAAAATGAGATCTACAACTGAACATGCTTTAATACATAAATGTTTATGTTTACACAAAGGAAAGCATTTCTCTTAACCATTTTGCATGTCAGAAGTAAAACCTTTTGAATATACATGCTGATTTACTTGTGTGTCCAAGAAAAACAGCTGTAAAAATAGCCCATCTTAAATTATAGAGTGAGGGAAACAAGCAGGCAGACCCATATAATATATAATATATAATATATAATATATAATATATAATATATAATATATAATATACAATATATAATATATAATATACAATATACAATATGTAATATATAATATACAATATATAATATATATGTAAAAAATGTCTTTTGAGAAGTATAAAACACCATACATAGTTACGGATTCTCCTCTCGTCGTATTCATGGCCTCTCTTACTGAATCGCATATACCCATTTCTATAATCTCTTCCTTTCACATTATGTTCTCATTTTCCCAGATTTGTAGTGCCTTGGTAATTTATGTCTTAATAGCCAAGCTAAGATACCTATTTAGCATATCACTTAAAGTCTTTCATTAAGAAAAAAAACACACGGTGTTTAATTTCTCAAAAGATTGGTAATATCACATTTTCTAAAAGGAAATAATGTTAGAAAATACAGGTTACAGTGTCCAATATTTGTTTGCCTTCAATTATTATAATTATCCTAGAAGTTCCAGTATTATATAAATGATGCATTCCTTCTCTCATTAGATGAGTATCAATGGAAGGTTATTATGTGCCAGACGCACATCAACTCTGGTGCACACGACCCACTTCTTCAAATTAACACTACATTGATTAGCAAACATGTTTCCATTTTAAAAATCTAACATGAAATATGAAATACAATGGGAAGTTAATATGTAATCTCAAGAACGAGAAGCAGATAAGAGGAAGATGGTTAAAAAAAAAAAA